TGGCCAAAAATTATATATAATTAATTACTAGATATAAAATATTATCAATAATTTTTGAAAAGAATTAATTTATTCAATGAAAAATATGATTATTGATCCTTATACTTTTAGTATGTTTTGGTATTAATTTCTGTATTTTTTTATTGCTCTTAATTTCTTAAGCTTGATCCGTCTACAGTGTTAGTTTCCAAAGTCCTAAATATACTTACAGATTTAAAGGTGACTAAGGACGTACATATAAAACTGTTAATTATCGTGCTGACGTGTTAACAGTAGGATGGGTTAGATAAAACATGAGTAGAAGGCAAATATAAAATTAAACAACAATAACAACAACAGTAAACTTTTATTTCATTAGGTGATGTCAATTACATAAATTGTAAGACGTCATTATATTCTATTATTTATCAAGCTTTTAAAAATATTATCAATTAAGAGATTACATTCAACAACTTTTAAGAGTATTTTTTTAAGCTTTCCTCTATCTCTCTTAACAAAACTCAAAATTATATATTTCACTCTTTTCACTAATACCTTTTGTGATTTTCTTTGTACATACCAAAAGGGGATTAAATCACAAAGGCAAAATGCACCCTCCCTTTTCTTTTTTGCTTTTTTGGGCCTTCTGCGTTTTTTATCCTGCCCATCGTAATTTTAACATGTCAATCAAACAATTAATGGGCTAATGTATACTCCCTCCATCTATATATAGAAGAGATTTTTTAAAATTTTTTTATTCTTAAATATAAAAAGTTGTTAATATATTTTTTCAATGAACACACCATCATATCCTTGTTAAATTAGGAAGAAAAAAAGATAAATACTTTCTTTAATTTACTTTAAAAAAAGAGATTTATTTTTTATTTACAATAATTAAGGGCAAAATTGAAATATTGCTGTGCTTTTAATTAGATAACCAACTCTTAATAATTTACATGATTTAGTTAAAAATATTTTATATATAGAGATAGAGGGAGTATGTCAGCAAAGTTAAGTCCTTATGGGTAAATTTAAAATTATAGGGATCAATATTATAGACAAATTAAATTTAAGTAATTAGGGGTAGTGAAAAAAGTATTGGAATTAATACCAAGGCATATTAAAAAATTGAGAGACTAATAGTTATATTTTTTCTTTATTCAATCACTAATAACTAGCAGAGCACCTGCATATGCACAAGATATTCTTGTTCTTCTGTACAAATTAGTTTTAAGTAAATACAAACATTCATAATGAGATTTTAATATACGTATAACTATTTTACAATATAAAGAAGATGAATAAATAATCATCAATATATCTTTTAAAACAATTCATCTCACAAATTACTGTTCATGAAGTTGATGAGTATACAATGACTTCACATTGTTGTACAGTAGCTCCATGTTGAGCTATGAGTCCGGTTTGGGTGCTCATTATAGTGACGAGCACCATGGTGCTCATCACTATGATGAAAGCTAGCCCATCTAGATTTTTAATCTGGATGGTCCATATTATCCAAATTTAAAGGATTATTATATATTTTGATTTTTATATCTATTAAAATAAAAATTATAAAATAATTTTAAGAAATTTTTTACTTTTAATATAATCTAGATTCAATTTAGAGGGTTCAATTTAATATTAAAATTATTATTATTATTATATATTAACTATCCGGATGTACTTTGCATAGTTTAGATTTAATCTGATATTAATCTAGCCTAAGCAGAGTATATCTGAATAGTCAATATATATTAATTATAAAAATTTTAATATTAAATTAGATCCTCTAAATAAATGTAGACCATATTAAAAATAAAAAATTTATTAAAATTATTTTATATTTTTTATATATTTTTATTTTAATAAATATAATGCATAATATTGCTTTAAATCTGGATTATTCAAATCAAAATTTAGATGGTTTAGATCTCATCACAGTGATGAGCATCATGGTGCTTAAACCCATTCCGTTGAGTTATGCAGATCAATTGACCAACCACTTTCACACTTTCTGTGTGTAATAGGGAGAATGACAATCATGTTTGATGATCAATTAATTTAAATTAAATCTTAAATCTTAAATATTAAATTTTAAAAATTTATAAGTTTGTATATCAATTTTGTAACTTATTTTTTAAATTTTAACATGGTTAATAAATAAATAATTTGTTTTTCCCATTAAAATTAAAATTTAGAATATAAGTTGTAAATTCATCATAATTTGCAAGTTCTTGGATTTTAGGATTTAAAACCTAATTTAAATTAATTGATTCATTTGAGACTTTTTTGTCATTCTCCATATTTTATATTCTCTTTTTAATTTTATTTATAAGTTATTTTTATCGATCTCACTAATATTAATACTATAAAAATTATAAGAAATAAAAGTAAGTGAAATTCTAAATATAACCCTTAAATAAAAAATAAAGAGTAAATAAATCATATATTATTATTTTTTGTCTCTCCCCCCCTCAATTTTTAAAGATAATTTAAAAATTTTAATTTAAAATAAAATAATTCCATCAATTAATAACTTATAAAGTAAATAAGATTATGCTTCTAAAATATGCTTAATATAGAGAATGGGAGGGAGTATTTAAAATTTCCTGGTCTGCCTTCCTCTTGAGCCCTCGTGCTCCCATTATATTTACATCTTTTCAAGGAGTCTCTTTGTCTCTGTTGTTCTCTTCGACCCCAATTATCATTATTCTTTTCTATCTACCTTTAAAGGGATGTTTCTACAACATAAGCGAGCTTCCATTTCATGTATTTTTTTTAATTCTATTTATAAATTATTTTTAATATATTTTATTAAATTTAAAAAAACTTTAAACTTAATTAATTTTGTCTTAATATTTAATAAGTTTTTACCTTTATCTTTAATAAATATTCTTAAATTTTTTTTTAATATTTTTATTTAAAATATTTAGTAAGACAAAAATATAAAGAGAAGAATTAAAAATTAATAAATATCCTATAAATAAAATTATTTTTTTTTCGCTCTTAATCCTATAAATAAAATTGGGGGAGTATAGTGTGATATGAGTTTGGTTTTATAAAAACGCGGCACTTGGATCTAGCATATTAACACGTGTCTTTTTCACTTCGCACTTTTAATTAACTCTCTCCAGTTGACAAAGACGTGGTGTGATATTTTAGGTAGTGATATTAATTGCTTCATCTGTTCTATTTTATTATGCGGCATCTGTAGTAAATTATAAGATATTTTAAAAAAAATTTAATATCTTAAAATATAAAATACTTCAATGAAAATAAAGTTTTATTTATGATGTTACCTTTCCTATTATATTCTATCTCTTTAATCTTATTACATAAATGAAGTATTAAATAAATAACATTTTTAAAAGTATATTTTTATTTTTATAAAATAAAATTGTAAAGTACATTTAATGAGTTTTATTATTATGTGTAATTTTGTCTAAAACTATCTTGTAAATTAAAATGAAAAGAGTAAATAAGAAGGTTCTTCCCATCTAAGGGTCATCAATATTCTTCATTTGCTTTTTCTTTTTATGCATTGTAGCTAAGGCGTTTAGTTTGGAACTATCCTCATTGGCCCAGTATCATCCTGATTATATTGAGACCGGTCTTGTTTTGGCCTGAAAATAATCAGGACGAAACTTTATGGGACAGGATAAAAAAAGGGTTCGGGACAAGATGAAACACGTAATTACTATCGGGACGTCCCGTCCCGTCTCGAATATTATATATATTATTTTTTATTTTAAATTATTAAATATATTAATATAATATATACTTATATTAATTATATTAGTTATAATTTTAATACATGCAATTCTTATTTAAAACTAAATTTTTTTGTATTGATAATTTTAATGACATGGAATAAACATGACAATATCTTTTTTTATAATATATTAATTATATTAATATAATTTATTCTTATATCTATCTATTCAATAACTTTTATTTATAATATATTTCTTACTTTATTTTTAGAAAAATAATTAGCTTAGTACATCTCCACTAAAGTCGAAGAACAATGATTTGATATTATGCTTGACTTGCCTATTGTTGATACTCTTATAGCATAAAGATCACTTGTATTTGCTATTATTATGTGTAGTTGTGATTAATATAATTCAATAATTAACTTTAAATTTTGTGATTTATATACTTATGTTGTTTTGATTTTAAACTTAATAAATTTTATGATTTAAAATTTTAATAAACATTATTATCTAGATTTTTCTCCTATATTATCTCATTTATTGGAATGGCGAGACATCCTGATCTTGTCTCAGTCCCGTCTTGACTCCTAATGGGACGAGGCAACTTTTGGAACGGGACAAGAGACAAGACAAAAATTTAATCCCGATCTTTTTTTTTTTGGAACAAGACATGGCACGAAAATGTCCCGATCTCGTCCTGTCTGTGAACACCTGTTTGACTTTCATTTCTGCATCCTTCCCCTTAGCTTTTAACATCCCAATGTGACATTTTTTCGGTTAAAAAAGATTTTAATAATATTTGGGATGAGATTTCATGATAATTGAAATTCACGAGGTAATTACTTAAGTAGAGATAATTGACTTAAAAAGAGTTAGGCATAACTTTTAGAAAAAGAAAAAAAAATTATAAAATTTAGTAGGATTAAATAAGTATTTAAGATAGCATTTTGATTTTCCGTAAAATAATTATTTAAATCTTAGAAACAAATTATATTTAAACAAAATGCATAAATTCAGCGCCATCTTTTAGATTTTTAGATTCCAAAACAGATTTTTCATTTTTGTTTTTCAAAATAACAAACTGTTATAAAATGCATAAAAAACTGCTATAAAAGACAGGTTCTAAATAACCATTGTAGAAATCCAAACTAAGCTCAATAGTCACTCTGAGCCCACAAAGAAGGGAAAATACACAATCGTCCAAAACTTCCAAAACCCAAATAACCAAATAACCTAAATAGGGCGCTCAGAGATATTAGATGTACAGCAAATTTCTGAGTTACGTGTTAACCAATCTTCATGTGAATGGAGAATTGTTGCTTGATCATATACTAGAACCTTCGGTTTCAATTAACAATAGCATCACACGTTCAATAGGGAAGTAATTTGTTAATAATCCCACATGTATATTTTTTTTCTATACTTTTCTTCGAGTTTGGTCAATTGAGGCAGCCAAAAGAAGAATGGACGGTTACATATTAGTTCTAATATTTGCAACATAAACTGGGTATTGTTAGACATATGTTTATTGGATAAAATATTAATGTGATAATGAGTAACCTTCTACGAGACATTGAGTTCTGGTATCTTGCATCACACGTTGAAGTAAAGTAGGATTGCTTGTAACAATAGCATCAACATGTTCAGACAACATCCTTTGCATGGATTCTTCATCATCAACTGTCCAGGCGTATACCCTCTTCTTCCTCCTGTCAACCATAGGAAAGAACTTGGTCAGTACACATGAACGCTTTGTGCCCGTTTGGTATTTTGTTGGTCAAAAGTTAATTTATCAAAAGTTCATTTAAAAAAAAATAATTTAGTAAAAAGTTAATTGTTATAACAAAATTTGTGTGTAGATGCATTTTTTTCCCCCAAAAGTCAACTTCCCTCCATTATATGTTCCAACACTCAATTTTAGTTTCAAAAGCTCCAAATTTGTCTGTTCCCCAAATCCACTTCCAAACTCCATTTAAACTACATGTGGAATGTACTTTTGTCAAATCCAACAAATGATTGCTTCTTACAAATGAATCTTTGGAGAATGCAAACTGAAAACCAAACATGCAGTACTGGATGTACTTTCAGAAAGTCCTTTTGGGTAAAAATGTGTACCCAAATAACATTGGGCTTCCTAAAAGTGAAAAGTAGCTTTCTGAAAGTGGGATGTCAGGTTACCAAGCTAATTATAGGTAAGCTCTACATGAAATCCACACCTGTGCAAGATTTTAACAAGCTTTTCATCAATCAACGGATGGTAGACACCAACAACCTCAGCATCTTTAATCCTCAACAAATTTGTCCTAGCCCCAGTGGATCGGTCTATCAAAACAATGTAGCCTACCTGCATTATGACAGAGGAAATATGCAAGGAAATTATAGTGAATGACCAAACAAAGAGGTAAAATTAAGACCCCAATATCATTTAATCTCTAACAAGTTCTATCTGTGGTCTAATTTTGTCATCATTAAGCTAAAGCGACCAATAAGAAAACAGAAAACCAGAATTGCCTTAGTGATGAAGTGATCAACCAGAATGCTTCTAGTGATTGTGAAGAGAATCAGGATAAAATAGCTGAAATCAGAGTTGTGCTTTGTCCTTCTGCTTTTCTAAATTGATGATAAAAATATAGATGCCAAAAGTGCCACAAAAGAATCTCAGGATTAATCTTTGCCAAGTGAGATCCAAATGAGAATTAAGAAACAATCCAAAAAAGCCATCTCAGAAGAAAACCAAAGACTTCCATTAGAATTTTCCCTACGTTTTTTTTTTCTTGGGGGGCCAGGGGGGATGTAAATAAGTCAAATTGCTTCTTACTGTGATATCTGACGACAGTTTAATCACATCCCTGGCTAAAGTATCGCTTTTAGCCCATACAAGGCAGTTTCCACAGTCTGTCTTCTCCACCTGAAAGAGGGAGGTACTGAATACTTGAGATTACAACACTGGGAAAACAGAAAATTAATTAAAAAGATATTGCCAAATTTACAAGTGCTATAGCAAAATGATAGTCCAGCAGTCACTAGAAAATGGAAAATGATGAAATTTGGATGACTGGGGACTGGGATAGGAGCATTATACTTACAGCTGATAGAATGTCTCTAGCAAGCCCTTTTTCATATAATGGAGGCCCAACCTTAGCATCTAGGATTATCTGCCTCACTGAATTAGCAGTCAACTAAGACAGTATAATAATAGTCAGAGAAAAGGCTGAAAATATTACAAGTAAGGAAAAAAATGTAAAGAGTAAAGTCAATGAACATGACAATAGCAATTGACGATAATTCAAGAAGGAAAGCAAATCAAAGGAAGGTTGAGCATTCATACTTATACCTTCAGTGCCTCTTCAACGGTAGCTACACCATCATCATTGAACTTCTCCAGAGATTGGGTCAAAGCACTAAGCTCTCTTATCTGCAAAAACAAACTGAACAAAATCTTAGACAGTGTTACTGATATATTTTTTATTTATTTTATCCCACCTTATTCGTATATTTTAATGATAACTTTGGACTAATTTGGGTTTATTAGAAAATAATTGGATTATTAGCCAAATTTGGAAAATAATATAATTTAGAATTAATTATGAGAATTTTGGACTTAAATTGTAAATATTTTATTTTCATATTTTATGATGAGTTTAATTTTCCAATCTTTAAGATGATTATCTCATATATATATATATATATATCTTAAATTGATTTATTATACATTATTTGAGTTTTTGATCATTTTGTGGGAAAATCATAGTTGCTGGAAATTGAGTGCATATTAATATTTACTATTATTAGAATTAATTTCCAATTTGTAAAATGAATTTTGAATCATTTCATGAGACATGGATTTATTTTGAACATAACATACACTAATAGGAGCATTTGACCTTTTTAGGCCACGGAGATACCATGGGATCAAAATATTTTCTCCTCCTCTTATCTCCTAAACATAGCTACCACTTTCCTTTTCTTCTCTCTTCTCCCTCATTTTTTCGCTTCTTTATTTCTTTTTTATCATCCATCTTCTTCAACTCCATTCACCAACATTGACAGACGTCATCAATTATCACCATTTCCCTCTCGGTTCCACCATCCACCACTCATTTTATTCCTAACCTTCAATCATATTCTCATGGCCATGGCTTTTATGGTGCAAGAAGGAGGAAGAAAATTCATGGACGCTTAGGCTAGCTTGGGTGACAACTTAGGATGAGCATGGAGGAAGCTACGGCCTAAGACAAGCATTTGAAAATAGAGTGATTTTTCATTTATCCTCTTAATTCAAGAGCTTAAGATTATTTAATTTTAAGTGATTCTAAATTGTATTGCTTGACTACAATCTAGTTCTAGGTTATAAATGCTTTGAATCTCGGATTGCATTGAATTTGTGTTGGGTGACTTGTTGGAATTTATGTTTATAATACCCTTGCATTACCAATTGGATTAATAATTGAGTTTGAATTGCTACTTGCATCAGTGTTTAAGGCTCATAGCCCATTAACCCAGAATGAAGCTTGCATATGGGTAGGAATCTCCACCCACTTGGCTGCCCATCAGCCACCCACAACAATACTCACGAGACAACTCCAATAGGATGTGAATAAAACAAAACTAGCAAGTGTCACCTGATTTGCGCTCAAGTGCCCAACCTTAGATGTAGCGTTTCTTGATATCCGTTGCAAATCCCTGCCTGCATCAAGTGAGAATTAATCTCTGTCCAGCCATAAAGCTAACTTTTTTTGGACATAAAGTTATAAAGCTAACTTTAGAGGTGATAATATGAAGCAGATAAGTCCATTAATATTTAGCAGAACCCAAAATAAACTTATGAAAATAATATTAGAGAAGTGCAAAATAATTCTTATACACTTGGCAAAAAAAAATTAGTACTCCATAAATTTGCGTTTGATAAACATGATGACGATAATGGTGAAACAATACTTCAAATTGGGGACTTCAAACCTCAAATAAATCCAATGAAATGCATCAAGAAATATTCAGTAAGATTTTGATTGCTAATACTAAGAAGGACCTATAACTAGTTTTGGCATCTTGAGGATCGTTGTGACTAATCCCTATCTGCATATAATTTCAAAATTTTTAAGAAACTGATAAGCCAAAGTACCTATCATGGAGAGCAAACAAAACTCCATCTGAAGAACGAGATACATCAATCTCAATGCAGTCCACTTGAGAACGGAGAGCAGAGGCATATGCAGCAATCTGTAAGGAAAATCAGATACCACACAAGGAAGAACCATATCATAAACTAGAACTCTACCATGTAATTATATTTTGATGCAGATAATTGTTGATAATAACATTTGACAAGTCCATATCAAATCAAAATTGAAGAAGTTAGCCAGATAAGCACCATAAAAAATTGAGGGATAAAAAGAAATAAGTACATTACTTCAACATCACTGCAGCTCTTAAATTAAGTCTAACATGCATATTAACAAACATATTCATAATCATTTATATGTAGAACTATAAGTCGTTACTCATTACCATTTAGTCAAACATCTAATATTCTCTATTTTGCTCATAAAAATTCAACGAGAAGTAATATTTTATTGATCTAAAAAAAAAAATATTGATCTATACTCTATAGTTTGTAGTTTGGCCTTCTTCTGTGAGAAGTTGATAGATCCTTCCAATCAGAATGGTCTGTGCAAAGTAGAAGAATAAAGTTATAAAAACTGAAGAGTTTGGGGCAGCAGAGACAAATGGAAGCTTATCTACAAGAAGTTTGTCAGAAAATGGGATAAAAAGGGTGATGGGCTGATAGCAGAGAGAATGTGATGAAGACCAAGGCAAACATGGTGAAACCCACCCTTGAAAACCAATGTGTAAAAAGGAAGAACCATGCCACTTAAGTACTACAAGAATTACTTTTGGCTAAATAATTCAGGACACTATCGTAGGACTAAACCTAAGAAACCGACATCCTTGACGGCAGAATTTTTCCATACTCACTGCAACCACGATGTTACATTGCTTTTTTTGGAGCTTGGTTAAGCTATAGCATCAATTGATACATGCCTAAACAAGCATGGGAAACCCACCCAAGAAAACCTTCACTTAAAGGGGAACAGCCATGCCACTTAGGATCACTTGTGGTTATCCCAAGTGGACTCCATCTGAAAGAGAGAGAGAATGTTGGGGAATTGAGCCTTGAAGAGGTAGAGGCTTTCTGTCATTTCTTCTTGTGTTTTACTCTGTTACTTTACTGAACATCAATTGGAAACTAATGTTTCCGTCACAGTTACTTCCAACGTTATTGTACAAATGGTTTTAGGAGTTGAATCCTCTACATTGAGAGACTCCAAAACGTAATATTGAATAATTTTTAGAGTCACACGGTTCCAACCACAATATCAGATCCTTGGCATAATCATCAAATCAAAATTTATGAACTTACACAAGCCAAAATGGAACTACAGGAAAATATAGGCACAGATCAAATGTAAGCATGTTGGGGTGCCACAAAAGTTGGCAAGATAAGACAGTTCTCTTTTTTCCCCCTTTGGCAATGGCAAGACAGGATGGTTTTGAAGAGATTTTACACTGAACATCAAGTGGAAACTTGAGCTCAAACTACAAAATACAAGCTCATTCAGAGAAATTCAACTAGATTGTTTTTTCTCATGGATAAAAGAATTAATATTATTGAAGGGCAGAGATACAGAGAATTAATATAGAAAAGACACTGTTAAGGAGACGTATAGAAAAACAATAAGACGAACACCAAAGATAGGAAAATGATCCCATTTCACATCAGATGTAGGGGCTGAATAGGAACCTTTAAGATAAGAGCATTTCCTTAAAGCCATACACCAGAGAGTAGCAGAGAAAGCGTATTGCCAGAAAATATCTTACCCCTTAGTTCTACCAAAAGCCCTCAAGCTAATCTACAAAATTTCTGCAGAGGATACGCTTAAAAATTTCTAAAAGCAAAATATATAGTGCTTCAGATGTACTTAATGGTGGGGCAGCGTAAAGAAAAATGAGCTAAAATTTCAGAGCAGTAAACTTTATTTGGTAGTATCCTTAATAAAAAAAGATTTCACGGCATGAATTTTCTTGAAAATTAGTTATGGCAAAGATAAAACTAATTGCTGTTCAAGACTGCGTTTGTGCATTCTCAAGAGATTAATCTGGTCAAATATGCATGGTGGAAATATCTACCAGGTTCAGGGCATTTTTAATTTTTGTCCCGCCAGTTAGCTACCCAGAAAAAACCCAAACCTTGGGTGTTAAGAAGAGAACCAATTGAGATAAACCTTGGGTTTTACAAATTATCTTTGCACCGTTTGCCTCTTGCTATAATTTTCACATGTGAATTAGTGATAAATAAAAAGTTTATTTAAGTCGAAACCCAAAACTTCAGTTAATTGAAGCTTGCACATCAGGTCAAAACAATGTCATGGAGACCTAAGCGAGAAGGGAGAACAACCATTAAAACCAATTTGTAAAGCGGAAGAACCATGGCCTATAAGTACCACTTAAATTTCCAACGACTCCTCAATCAGAGGCTCCATCGTAATGATGTATCATGTATGTAATGAATCAACAAGATGAAATTAGAAAACATACCGTGTTAGGAAAAGCCTTAGATGAATCACCCCCATGCGCACATACAAGGGGAGGATCATTAAGCCAAGAACATTTCCTCAATTGCATCTGCATAATCAATGCAACAGTTACATAGTGATCATATGAACCTATCATAATAATTGCCAAACAGAAACATTCAACTAAAGTGTTGGTGAACTTTTGATCTAAAAAATCCAAGTTTTACCTCAAAGCATAGACAAAGTAGATACGGTTTGACGATGAATCTAAGGAAAATAAAGTGACTTTTTAAACTGATTCAGGATGGTAATTGGAATTATTCTCTTAATTCATGATATACCTATAATTTTAAATGTAACTCGGAATTTATATTTGGTCGTTTAGGTCTTTGGATTATTACTGGCTCATAATACCGCATTCTAGTTGATTTAGGACATTTGAGCTGTCTATATATAGTTGCCTATACAGAAAAATATTATCTAACACGGGATTTCTGAAACTGGCCCCGAAGAAGATCATCAATTAATCAATGCGATCTAGCAGTTAAAGCCCATATCTGGACAGCATTTGCAGCCAAGTCAAAAAGACAAAAATCTTCAATCCCACTCCGACGGAAAGTTTCCATTCTAAGGCAAACACAAAATTAACGAATGTAAACTATTGTTCCAAATGCACTCCCATTCACATTAATTCATTTAGCTTCAAGATTACTTCTTTACGCTTACACAGGAACCCATTTTGAATGTATGAATCCATAACAACCCAAGGAATAAGTTAGGTGAGGGAGCGGTTAACAGAACGTGGATGGCAATGAGCATACCTGATGAAGTCTTCTAAGTCGGAAGTGAAAGAAAAGTGGAGGCAAAATAGCAAGCAAGGCGAGACATATGAGGATCGTATTGATGACCCTCCGGGAAGAAAATCTGAAGCGAAGCCGATTTCTGGGCCATGGAAAACCGGCCGTACTCTGAAATAGCTGTTGCCTCCTGCCAAATCTCGAAGCCATTGCCGCCAATGGCCGATGTTCGATCATACAACTTCTGCTGAGGCCAACGAGTTTACATATGTATGTAATGAATTGAAATGTAAACAAAGCCATGGATTAAAAAAAAGAAGAAGAAGAAGAAAAATTATGTCAAAAAAAAAGAAAAGAAAAGAAAAAACAGGAAAAAAAAAAAAAACGTTCAAAACTTGGAAAAGGGCCCTAGTCAAGGTTTCAAAGATCAATTATTAATTAGAAAAAAAAAATAATCAAGATATTGGTATTAAAAACGTTTGAGACCTTCTATGAATATTAATTAACTAATTAATGATGAAAAACTGTGAATTTTAGAAATGTTAAAGAAAAACCAAAGTTTTTAACTGAAATTAATTTTAAGTTGATCATTTGCATTTTAATACATATCTTTATTTGTTAAATATTTAATTGTAATTTTTCAGAAATTATATTTTAAATATTTTTGTCTTTAAATTTAATTTAAAAAATAAAAATATAATAGTTGAAAAAACTAAACACTGAAAAAATTAAAAAGATAAGTACTTAAAAAATATAAGGTGAATATTAAAAAAATAAAATTTGAGTATTAAGAAATTAAAATATAATTACTTAAAAAATCAACTCAATAAATAAAAATTTCAACCAAAAATTTTAATATAAGAATTAATTCAAGTGAAGGTGTTGTAATGAATAAATAATGTAAGATGATGAATAATAGTTTAAAAGATAATAAACCACGTACATTAGGGACACAAACAAGTCATACTATCATAAAAGCAATGCTTGCGAATTAATTTAAATGAAAGTGTTGTAATTAATAAGGAAAGTGGGACAATAAACAACAATCTGAAAGGTAATAAATCACATACAATAGGAACACAAACAAGTAGTGCTAATACAAAAATAATATTTGAAATTAATTAAATTGAAAGTATTGTAATAAACATTTGAAATAGATTAATAAACAATAGTTTAAAGGGTATGAACAATATATAGTACGAATACGAACAAATTGTGTTAGGGAATTTTAATGGGGACAATCTTGTCATTTTTTAGAGAATTTTAATTTTAATTCAATACCCTAAACTCGTAGTGAAGTTTTAGATATTTAGGGGTTCTATTTTTTTATTATCTCTAGTCCAGGGGTTTGCCATGAAATTTTATCATTTAACTACATTTCATTAGTTTTGACATCTTAGAATTTGTGATTCCTGGACTTATATGAAGTAAATTGAATTAAATGTGAAATGTGTTGAATTATTTGGGAATTAGACCGATTAAGTTGATGCTTGAGACTTAGTGGTATCAAGCAATGAACTGGAAAGGATTGGAGGTGATTTACAGTCGGAATTTGAATTTGAACTCTGCCCATGTTTGGCCTTGGACATAGAACAGTTACGCCATGTTCGTCTATGGATAGAGGTTGCAGGATAACTAAGTTAACGATATCCTACACAAGGCAAGAATAAAAGGTTTGCGTTCAGTACCGGACGTACGTGATACACTAGTTGTTATGTTGTGAACAAGACTACAAAATTGAGGAAGAAAATGGAAAGAAAGAAGAGAACAAAAAAAAAAAAAAGGCTATTAGGGTTGTATTTGCAATCATCCTAGAGTATTTTGATCTTCCTATCCACTTATTATGTGATTTAACCTCTAATCTTATTTTTCTATTTTAGGATTTTCATATTTGCTTGGGTTAAAAATTAGGTTTCTTTTTTCATAGTTTTGAATTTAGAAATGTTTTTACTAACTGAAATAGTTTAAACATGTTAATAAAGCTAGATTAATGTACAAAAACGTCTAGAAAACTTTTTTACAAAAGATTCTGATATTTTTAAGTTAACAATGATACATACTAAAGTTTTTCATAAAAATTTTGTGAGTATTTTTATACTTTAACCCAATAACAAAATATTTCCATGGAAATTTTATTCTTAGACATAGTAGACAAGGAAATAGGAGGAAAAAAATAATAACACAAGAACAAAATGGAGAGGTTCACTCCTTCTATCTCTACCCTGGTGGTTTTCCTTTGTTGCCTTAGTGTTGTCGCTGGAGTCAGCTTTCCTCCACTAAGGGAAGCTTTCTCTACCTCTCTGTTAATATAAAGGGAAATTTGAACTGCTCAAATTATCTAGATTAAATATTTTTATTTTTTATTTTAAATTTATATTTTTAAAATAAAAAATATATAAATTTTTTTAATAAATATATGTATTAATCTGATAGTCCAGATTTAATATAAATTATTCAAATTTAATATTAAAAATTTAAATTGACTTCTTAAATATATTCTGGATAATGCAGATACATTCTGAACAAAACAATAAACTTATTATAAATTTTTAATATTGAATTTAAATTATTTATATTAAATATAAATTGTTAGGATGATAAGTATATTTATTAAAAAGTTTTTACAATTTTTATATATTTTTATTTTAAAAATATATAAATTTAAAATAAAAATTAAAAATATTTAATCTACATCATCCAAATTTTCCCTTGCCACCCAAGGAGGCTTCCGTTAGTGGAGGGAAAGCCGACCGTTGTTGCTACCCACTGCTCACCGCCTTCTTCCTTGCCTGTTTCTGGCTGGCTGTTGATTTCATTGTTGCTGATTTTCTGATCCTCTTTCAAGAGGTTCTTTCTTTGGTCTCATTTGCTTCCTACTCTTGAATCCCAAGCGTTTTGCTCTTGTCGTCGCATCTCTGTTTGGTTTTTTGCTTGCCGCCACCGCCGCCGTTGTAGTTGTGGTCTTTTTCCACTTCTTGGTTCTTTTTCTTGTCCTTGTGCTATGTTTTTTTTCCCCGTGTTTGTCCTTATCTATTCATTTTCTTTGGTTTTTTTGGCATTGTTTTCTCAATGTTTCTTCCTCGTGTTAGTCAATCTCATGTTTCCTTTTGTTGCTGTCATTTTTTTTATTTTATTTTCAAGCTTCTTGATTCTCGTATTCTTCATGCCTCTAAATATCAAGCTCTTCTCAAAGTTTCTTGACATCTTAGAGGCTCTATTAATGTGGTTCAACATCAAGGTCCATTCTTCATTGTCTTTTTCAGCTATATTTCGGATCTTAGTTTTATTCTTTGCTCAAGGTTTTACACTCTATATCTCTAGTTGGGATGAGTCTTTTTCTTTAAAGTCTTTTCCTTGTTCTAATGTTTGGTATAGAGTTTATGGTTTCCCTTTGGCTTATCACTCGATCACTGCTTTTATTGGTAATAAGCTGGGTTCCTTCCTGTCCTTGATGTGTCATATGTTTATCATAATGTTGGCCTTTGTTTTTTCGGTTTCTATCTCCTATCTTTCTACTTTTCCTCATCATCGGTTCATATTTTCTCATTGCGGTGAACCTATTTCTATTTTTGTTTTCTTTAAAAATGTTGGTTGTGTTTAGAGTCGATAATATGGGCCCAACCTGCCAACCCGTAAAAAAGTTACAGGTTGAGTTAAAGAAGATGAGTTTAATTATATGTGGGGCGATTTTGATCTACCTTACATAACCTGAACTTATGGCAAGCTAACCCGTGGGTTGGCTCACTTATATTTTTTTAAAAAATGGATAAAAAATAAAATATAAAAAGTTGAGCTTAAAATAAAGCATTCAAAGTAAGGATGTACAAAATTATGATTTAAGTACTTGATACTTTTACATTTATTTAATTTAAATTTAAATTACGGTAGAAAACAATAAAAACACATTACTTATATATTTAAGTAGTGATATAATATAATTTGAATGTGATCAAGACAAGATTGAATAAAATATTTTATTATACTTTGCTTCATTCATATAATATCTTATTTAAATTATCTTACCTAGGTTAGCAAATAAAAAAAGTTTACCCACCGTTTTTATTTAAAAAATTAAATATATTTATGAAGTGCCAACCATATAATATATTATCATCTTAATTTGAATATAAAAGGAAAAAAAATAGACATAGAGCTATTAGAATGTTTATGTGGTATGAACTGAATGCATTATGATTAGTAATGTAATAGTTAGAGTTTAAATCATCATTATTTGCTTTAAAAAAAAAATTGGTATTTTAAATTGGGGCATCAATTTTGTAGCAAAAAAACCAAAACAGGATCAAAAGAAAAGGAAATAAGCACAACATTTCTATTAATTTAGATATGCATAATACTAATCAGTTATGTAAAAGACTAAAGAACAAAATGATCACAAAATAAAATTAGTTCATATTTAAATGGTGATATAAGCATGTCTTAATTAGAAATATTTTTATTGTTATTTGGATAATTAATTTTTAAGGGGAATATATGATTTTGTTTACCATGAAAAAATAATAAAAAAAGGTAAATTTATAATTTTTAAAATTTTAAATTTAAAATTTTAAAAATCATTTAAAAAAATATTTTTTTATTTGCGGGTTGACTCGCTAACCCACCAACCCGCTGTGAGTTGGCAGAATTCAACCCTCACAGAATGCGGGCCATGCCAACCCACCTCACCAAACCAACAACCTGATACGGGCCAATCTGCGGGCTGTGAGTTGACCCATATTACTAACTCAAATTATATTTAGTTTAAATTAATGATCTCTTAAAATATTATAATTCCTCATCATCATAATGGGAATAGGTTCATACATATGGCAAACACTTTAATAACAACTTGTGCTCGCACCAAGTGGTTGCCATTTGTCTGAAGTCGATTTCTTTGGTTTTAGGTCATTTGCGCAATGATCTTCGGGTCTCTTTTTCGGGTTTTCTCCAAGCATGTTGCCATATATTCTTTTGGGCCTCGTTATGTTTTTAATAGGACACATGACATTTGTATCAAGTCTAGGCTCACTTCATTTGATGCTCCTCCATAAGCTTCGATGACCAGGCCTCCTTTTACTAAAAAAATTTTCATGCGTTGAGTTGTTTGGAGCTTCTTCACTATCAAGAGTAGGTTCAACCACGATTTCATCAATTCAGCACGCAATTAATATACTCTTAATTTTAGAGTTGAGAATATAGGGTGGATTACATGAGTTGACTTAGAATAATTGATGATAAAAGTTAGGTTGAGTTGAAAAAAATTGACTTAA